TAATAAAATTGAAAACTTTTATATAAAAAGAAAAATCTGTATTTTATTATATTTAATTAATAAATTTTGATGTCATTATATTATTTCTGATTATCACTATTTAAGACAAAAATTTCAATTTTATTAATAAAATTGATACATAATTCTATAATTCTATTAGTCACTATATACAAATTTAAATTCTAAATTTTTGTATTAAATTTTTTTAAGCTAATTAAAATTTTATAAAAAATTTTATAAAAATATTTATTTAATAATAATTTAATATTTAATTATAAAAAAATATTTAAAATTTCTAAGTTTTGCTCTTTAAGCAAAATTATTTTATTTTAGGAATATTTTTAAAACATTTTAAAGTTTATAACTTTTTAAAAATTAAGAAAAATATAAAGAATTTATAATTATATTTATTTTTTATATTTTCATATTAAAATTATATATAAAATTATTGTTTTTTCCTTTTATTTTATGCTTTATTTTTTAAAAAAATTGATCAATCTTAAAAGATAATAGAAACAAAAATAAAATTATAATATTAAAATAAAGAATATAAATATAAAAATATATAATTAAAATTTTATAATAGATTAATATATAAAAATCAAAACTTTTTATGCTTTATAACAACTAAAACCAGGAAAAACTGAAATTATAAAGTATATAATACTATATTATTCAAATTAAGTACAATAGATTTTTTTGTTATTGATAATGTGAACTTGTTGAAACTTCTCTATTATAAACACAAATTATATCTGTAAATGAAATTTTTTGTTATAATTAAAAATGAAGAGAGACAATAGTAAATATCTAAAATTTTTGGTTGGTTATTTTTTCAAAAATTAGAATAACAACGAATGAATAAATTCGAAATTAACATGAAGGTTGATGATGACAATGAAATGAAACTGTTAGCTTGGTTGATTGATTCACAATTGACAACGCGAAACCAATTGTATATCATTCGTGGCCTTCAAGAAATATTTTCTTTTTACCTGTTCAATTTTCAATTAAAAATTCGGAGGGCTAGGATATCAGTTCGAATGACTTTATTCTCGTTGGCTGTCTTGTTTTTGTATCAATAAACAATAATTATAAACAAGAAAATAAATAAATTATCTACAACATTTTACATACTACATACATGCATACATACATACATACATACTTACAAGGTGTTAAATATAAATATTTCTTTTATCCCATTTATCCCTCTAATCATTGATCTAACCTCTCTTTTTTTTGAATGCGTTAGGCAACACACCAACCAATCGTTTTCTTCCTTCTCCACTTCCATGCACTCCACTTTCACCAACCAACGCCTCGACAATCCCCCAAATAGACAATACAAAACCAAGGAAAAACACCACCAGCATAAACGCGGCCGGCACAAAATCTTTGAATACTTGAGATACCTCACCGTTTGGTTGGTCAAAGGCACCACCCACCAAATCCGACACCACAAATGATATCAGTAATAGACTGTACAACGTCATGACGATACCCTCGCGTACTCGACTTGTGCCGAATCGCCACCACTTTGCACCGAAATTTACCTCGTGAAATTCCGAAACATCCACGCGTTTTTTCTCCTTAAAAAATAATGAGAATAGCATTAACGGCGAATAATAGATAACGGTGAATATTGGATCGAAATCTTTGTTTCGAAGGTCCAGGTAAGTCCACACAGTCACGAAAAAGATGTATAATACGAAAAATACTAATGGTACAATGATCAAACAAATAAAATTAGTAGAATGTGATTTGTCATCTTTTGTCGTCGTTGTCCCATCATTATGGTGAATCAATTTGTAACCGGCGTAGATTAAATTGAACAATACTAAAGTTGAGAACCACATCACACGTGACATTATCTGATTACGAGGAATCACACGACCGAATGGAGGTGTAAGATATGCGTAATTTGAATTGAATGTTAATCCGCCTGCCGTTCCTCCACTAACTAATGTCAACGGTAATAGATCACTAGAATCACGATAATGTGACTCACGATAATCCTCTTTCGAACTGGCATGTGATGGATTATTGTGTATATCAATTTCTTTTGTATGTGACATTTGATCTATCATTTATTTGATAACGATTAGCTATTTAATTAATGAAATCTGACATAGCATTAAAGTTATAATTACCACTAGCAGATTTATGTCCGGCCTGCATAAAACCTTTTTCCATGTTTGACATGTTTAAATCTCTACTTCGATTAATTGATGAAGTAGTTGGTGAAGATAATTTACCAATTTTTGATTGTGATGAACTAACACCACCACCACCACCACCACCGCCGCCGCCGCCGCCGCTGCCGCCGCCGCCTCCATCTCCCAACAAACTCAGTGGTCTTAAACCATGTCCGTCCATTCGTTGCCTTGTATCAGGTAGCTCCAAATTACTAATATTACTAGTGTCAATTTGTGTAGGTGTTTGTATCGGACTAGAGATCAAAGGTGTCTTTGGCAATACAACATCCGATGAACGTGATGGTAATTGTAATTGAACATTCCCAGGATCATAAACTTCCTCCTCACTTTCCTCATCTTCCTCGAATAAAAGATCCTCGTCAATGCTTGGACGTGTTTGCACGGATTCCTCTGCCAATGATAAATCAGAATTTTTCCTTGCATGATCTCTAACCGGCATTGTATAAGATCTGATTGGTGGTTGAATTGGAATCCGATGTAATTGCGGTAATTGAGATTGAGGTGGATTCGTCATCGTTGATGTTGTTGTTGATGATGCAGAATTATTGTTATTGTTATTATTATTATTATTAGTAGTATTATTATTATTTGAATTATCAGCCATAGTTATGGGTTCGTCGGTTATTATTGTCGGAAGGCTACCACTACCATGAAAAAGTTCACTTTCCGAATCACTATCAGACGCGTCAAAATTATAAATTGGTATGGTGTGAAATGATTCGCTCGGTGCGCTGCTTTGAGCGTCGTCAATATTTCTGTCCATGACTAATGAGAATAAGAATTATTAATATATATATCAGTCAGATGAGTGATTTCTTCTTTTTTTATGTCAATAAATTAATATTGAAAAGCAAATTCTGATAAGAAGAGAGCCAGATTCAAAAAATTACATTACAATTTTTAGAAGAGAATACGTAAAAAATCTCAAAGTTTAGCCATCAATAGAAATTCTTTTTGATGCTTTGCTGCTGGGGTGTGGGTGCTGAATAGGGTTATTGTGTGGTGAAGTTTGAATCTCAAAATTATTATAGGCTAACTAAGGTTGTTATTGTTGTCTATCCCCAGATATACACACGACAACAACTCGAGGAGAAATTGATAAAAGAGGAGAAGAAAGAGGAAAAAATTCAAAAAATTTGATTTTACACTCTCAATTATCTTGTTCTTTTCTTGTATCAATCTGAATGGTTATAGAATACACACACACACATATTTTCACTCGCTATAAACAAAAAAAGAGTAAACTATTTTAAAGCGCCGCCTCATATTGTGCACCGGAAAAACGGCAGTATTCTTCCTCTGAATTCGAATTAAAAAAAGATCATTTCTCGAATCTAGTTAATTATCATATACACATGTACAATGATGATTCATATACGATAGCAAATAAATAGATATATTTAGCAAAGCCTTTACGTGTTTCTTTTAAGTTGTAATTGGCTGGTAGAAAACATATTACACATGCACAGACACAGACACATTCATAAGACCTTCTCTATACAGGCTTTTTGGGCTTGGCGTGGGTGAGTATCAACAATGAATAGAGTGACTTCGCCTTCTATAGGAAAATCAGCAAAGCCATCATATAAATTATATTATTGAATACCCACTATGATCTATATATATATGACTATCATCATAGAGTTGTATCATCATACACAGTATTGTATGCAAGTTTAAAAACTTGTTTTTAGGAAATTTTAAGTCGCCATTTGTGAACCGCCCATGATTAAGCCTTAATCAAAGAATAATAAGAGAAGAAATCTCGAACTTTTTCTTGCCAATTTTTTGATTTCACTATCGTTACTTTTGTTATTATAATTAAGGTTCCGAACATATAGCATAGCAGGATTTCTTTGTGATTGGCTAATTTTTGTAGATCATTTTTTAAATTCTATTGGTTGATAAAAATAGCATGCTTTCTTAATCATTAATGATTTTTTTTAGCATTAACAATTAGCTTAAATTTAAATGTTTGTTAATATCTGGTATAGTCACTTTACTAGATACTACAGAAACGCCATTCTTTTCATAATACAGTCAACTCTCTCTAAATGCACACACTATGTTTCTACTCCATAAATGCACACCTTGGTACGGTCCCAAGTTAATAATATTACTAAGTAAAATGCTCTCTATAAATGCACAAACTCTCTAAATGCACTCTCAGGTTTGATTTTCATATGTCTCCCGGCGGTGTGCATTTAGAGAGAGTTGACTGTATCATCTTCTCCCTCCAGGTCACAATATTCTGCCTTTCCCCTACCTTTTTTCTCAGCAACAGGACGCTGTACAGGCAACATCTATAAAATAAGATAGTAAATTAATATACGTATATTTTATTTTGTCAAAATTCTAATTCTGAAGTACCGAATTACTTCACCTTATTTCAAATTACTTTAATGGTTTATAGAATATAACGTATATTACTAAGTCGAAAAAAATTTATTGTTTGCAAATTCGTCTCTGTGGCTGCGTTCACTCGGATCCCTTAAATTTTAAGACCCCGTTCTTGATTCACCATGATCTGCTGGATGACAGCAAAAGACATCCAATACTGCGCCATAACACCGAATTTTTATTGTAGATCCTATACATAATAATCAATCTGACCAATCAAAATTATTTATTTAATACATAATAATCAATCTGACCAATTAGAATTATTTATTTTTTATTAGTAAACGCCAAAATTGTAATTTCACAAATTTATATCTCAAGAAAATTAAAAAAGTATTTTAACAGAATTATAGCTTTATCAAATAATTATTAATCTGTAAGAGGATTTTTTTTCCTTTTAAGTTATAATAACACTTTTTGTATAAAATTTTTGCAGATCACGATGAATCACGGTGATACATTTTGAAGATCAACCAATCAGATTTAAGCTCGCTTAGTTATAAATTACATGTATCGGTATTGGTAACGCATTTACTAATTTTCCCCCAAGTTCTGATTGGACGCAAGTAATTTCTATCGCTGATTGGTTAACTGCACACCGGGTCTTCTAGATTAACCAATAAAAATGCATAAATTTTTTATCAATTCGGCAAAACAAATCCGACACAAGAAAATTAAAAATGAAATATACATAAAACGAATGCTTAAACCTGCATTGAAGCACTAATAAAAAATGTCGGGAAAGCAATTTTACTTATAATATTTATCTCCACTCTACCCCTAATTCTAACGCTAGTAAATTCATTGGTAACAACGCGAAATTCCCGTTCTTCAAGAACGGGAGTTTTGCGTTGTTCTACTATGTTAAATTTTGTGATCAATAAATTTATTAGTATATGTTAGGATAATTATTATAACCAAGTTCGATATTTGAGTAGACGAGAGTGACAGATATTAATATACATTCTATTATAGACCCCTCCCCCTCCCCTTTGCACGTAATATTTATATTAATACCCGAAATTTTGCCATTTCCTTCCCCTTATTCATTTAAGAGGGAACGATTGTTTATATCAACTTAACAAAATGTAATTTACGCAAATGTGCAACCACTCCTAAGATATTAATTTAACGTGGCTAATGGGCAATTAATAACGATAACGGACGAACAAATAACACATAAAACAGTTTTAATGCGTATATATATAACATTCATTTTGAGAGTGTATATTGAAAGAGACTGTAGAAGAGATTTTTAAACTGAAAATTCTTTTTATAGTATAGTACTTTTCTCGTGATTTCCTTTTTGGTTTAGCTTCCAGTAAATTTTTTCAGAAAAACTATAAATTCATGAGTCATTCGGAAAAACCATATTCTCACGGGGCAATCTCTCGTTTTTTTAAATTCGATAAATTCGACGTAGAATTATCTGTCACGTCATGGTTTATCAAACCCACAACCCTCTTCAAACTCCGAGCATTATTTGCAGTTTATGGTGTTGTCGTATTATGTTTTGCGATTAAAGATTACATAATAGAGCGTAACGTTCATCTCTTGCATTACTTCACGTATTGGAGTTTTATAGGATTAATATTTTATTTCATAGTGAGTTTTTTATTTGAAAAAAGAAAAGATAATAAACTATAATGAAATAATATATACGTATTTCTCGCCTTATTTAGTTATCTGCCGTTTATTCGAAAAGATATTTGGATTATGGTCAAGTAGGATTACCAACATACTTGAATAATTTGCTTTGGATACTCTATCATACACTATGTCATTACCAGTAAGTACTATCATTAACCGCGGCATAATGAGTTTTTAACTAACAGAATAAAATTTTGAAAGTCTAATAGTTCCAATAGTATACTGGGGATTTTTATACGAGGAGTTAACTGGTTATTTATGGTGGCGAAATGTATCAATACACGCTTTGGATATAGTCATGATGTTTATAGAAATGAGTATGAATCGTCAAATATTTGTTTGGCCGATGTTATTGATCACGATTGGATTCCAGTTTTTGTTTATGTTTATGTCGTGGGTTGTGTATGCAGTGTTAGTATAATTTATTTATTTTCTTTTATTGGATAATTTGATTTGTTTCACTGATATAAATTGATTGATATTTGAATAATTAATTAGATATCATTTCTGGGTATACTCGTTTTTGTCTTGGAATAATGGACCAGCCGCGGCATTGTGGTATATTGGTCTATTTATCTTTTTCATTGTCGTTTTTGTGATTCAATTTGGATTACATAAGTTGAGAGATGCGCTCGGAAAACGGCGAAGAGGGAGAGCATTTAGAAATGCTGATGTTTAAGCGAAATTAAGTTCCTGAAGAGATATGTTATTTTTGGTATTAGAGGGAAGATTTTAGCTGGATAAAGACTATTCATTTTCATTATTATATACCGGATTGGTTTTATTGTACATTAATTAATATAAATAACGGGACTACTTATTTCCTTCATATTCATGCATACACACATGTATTTTTATTTTTGTATTTTATTTAATACATACACACCATATATTCATAGATGTATTTTTATTCTCTGAATTAATGATTTTATTAATTAATATGTTAAGCATTATTCCGAGTTTTATTAATCGTATTACCAATCCATTAATTTATTCGTGGACGTTTGTTTATTTATTGGATGAATGCTATTGCCTATTATAAACCAAAAGTGTTGAAAGGTCGGTTCCGACAGGATTTGCTAAAATTAATAAGTGTTTCTTTGCTGATTATTATATCTATTATAATTCATATTGTTCATATAATTCATTTTGTTGTCAAATTGGCGACTTTCGATATCACAGCTCAATTCAAACTCTAAAGATTTTTTGAGTTGTAGTAGAAAAGCTTGAGGATCTTCAAGATCAATGCCATCAGCAACTTGCAATCGTTCAATTTGTTCCCCACGACTAAGTGCTTCTAATTGTTTGGCAATCGGTATGGCAGTTCTTCCACCGCTGACATCTATTACGTTTCGAACATCAAGTCCATCTGGTTTATGTTTCAATTCCAACATTTCATTCCATAATCGAATTGTCGTTTGACTATCACGTCTCCTTGAGAATACCTCGATCAGATGAGAAATGATAGCACGTGATGGTTGTAACCCTTTGGTTTTCATGTCATAATACCATCTCATTGCATCATAAACTTTTCCTGCTCTACTAAACCCGGTAATGATCGATTGATATATTTCTCCACTCTCTTCCATTTTGTACTTTTCCCGCATCTCCGTTAACAATTCTTCCAATGTTTCGTCATTACGATATTGAGCCGCAAGCCATAATAAAATCTTATAGGTTACACGATCCGGTGAAATTTGATTTTTTTGCATTCTTCTGTATATTCCTTCCGCTATATTATATTCTTTGAAATCAGCAGCGGCTTTTATTAGAGTATTCATGGTGACAGTGTCTCCTCTGACTCCATCCTTCTCCATCAAACTAATCAGATCTAATGTTTCTCCGAATCGCCTTACTTTTAGGTGGCCTTTTATTAAAGAGCAGAAAATATAGATATCTGGTTGGATTCCTTCAAGCTTCATCCCGTTAAAAATGTCCATCGCTTGATCAATTTCCGAGTTTCGAATGTATGCTTCAATGAGGATTGTATAAGTGGTGATTGTTGGGTTAACGCCTTTTTTGCGCATCGTTTTAAAGACTTCGAATGCGTGAATCCAATTTGATTCTTTGATTGCTTTTGCGATTAGTTCATTATAATCCTTTTCCGAAAAGGAAGATTCTTTTTCTCTCATCATTCCTAACATTTCTAGTTTTGAGATATCAAGTGATTTAAGGATCTGCATATTATCAGGTACATCATTTCGTTGCATCTCTTTATATAGTGTAATGGCTTCATCCTTCCGTTTTGCTTGTACCAATGCATTTATTAATATGGAATAAGTGACTGTGGTCGGTTGAATCTTTCGTTTTTTCATTTCTCGAAACAACTCTGCCACTTCATCCATGTTCTCGTCATTAAGATTCATCTTTACTCGAAGATTCATGATAGCATTGAATGCGCGATCATCATATGTTAACCCATCACGTTCAATTGCTCGAAATATATCCATGGATTTTTCGATGCAAACGTTCTCACCTAGTGAATCTCTTGCTTTCAGATATGCATCGATCATGACCATGTATGTGGTTTTTTCGCGCCTGATGTTTTTCTTTACCATCTGTTCGTATAACTTAATTCCATCCATGGGATTTCCAAGTTTCACGTGTGCTGCTATCATGACATTATAAGTGACCCTATTTGCTGACACATCAAATTCTTGCATTTTCTGATAACAAGCTTTGCATCCTGCCAGATCTCTGAGATCTTTGTACGCGGATAACATGATATTGAAACAATTCATACTCGGTTTTTGACCTGCCTTATCCACAATATCATTGAATATTTGCTTCATCATTAAGCCGACACCGGGTTTGATGAGTTCTCTCTTAAATACTGAAAGCATAGCATTAAAATCTGGCTCAACTTGTAATCCTCTTATCTGTTTGACGGTTAATTTTGAATAATCGTCCCAGATTTCGTTCGCTGTACGACCTTCGATCCTAATCACAGGTTCGAATCCCATATTGACAGCTTTTTGTCGATATTGTGGTACATTTTCATATGTCTTATCGAGAGAATTAGCCTCCCTTGTTCTAGTATACAAAGTTTTCCGATCAATGCTATCACTACGGATAAGATGTGGAACTGCAAATTTGTTTGTTACGGTGGTGGCGCTTTTTAAAAGTCCATTTAACGCGTGAGAATTGTAGGATAATACGCGTTTTTGATTGATTTTATATGGTTCTCCTAGTCGAGTGTAAAGAAAAAGTCGAAGTAAAGGAAATTTTTCGTATTTACATAATCGACAGCGAATATTAACATTAGAAGCTGTTCTTGAAATAGAGCTTTTTGTGATAAAAAGCATAATAATTTATAGAATTTAAATCAAGATGACTGAAACACGATAAAAAAATTTACCTTTTATTACACAAACCACGTGAATTCCGATTTAGGTAAATAATAAAATGATGGTACTTTCCTAAATGTCCGATTGTATAAAGATCATTTTGTACCTGAAAGACAAGACAGAAAAAACCTATCTACGGATAAACAGATCGCTGGACGAAAAACTTTCTCATTCTTGTCAAAAGCCATTTGCTTAATTAATAAATAATAATTCAAAGAAGCTAATATATAATACAATGGGTTCGTCAGAAAAAAACGCCGACGAGAAACCATTTCTCCCCCCTCCTGCTACTGCATCCGCGTATGCTAAACATCAGAAGCAACACTCACCCACCGTTATATTACTAGTAGTTGCATTTTACTGGCTCATTTCTATATCGGTTGTATTTCTGAATAAATATATTTTAAGTAGCTCGGAATATAAATTTCCGTATCCTATATTTGTCACTTGGTTTCAAATGGTTGTCGCGATGGTAATTTTAATGGTTTGGGGCTCATTGGGAAGAAGGTAATAAATCATTTACTAACCTTGTACTTTTATTATTCAATGGTGATGATGATGGATAACCCTTTTTCTTTGAGCAGATATAAGTTATTTTCCCTTATACCGCCTTACGAGTTTGATTTGAGCATCGCGCGTAAGGTCGCTCCCTTAACTTTTACATATGTTATGATGTTGACATTCAACAATTTATGTCTGCAATACGTTGAAGTTACTTTCTATCAGGTATAATTATCAATCAATTGATGAATGATTATCACGACTTAATTAACGCTAAAAAATTCTTAATTCCCTGATAAAAAGATCGCTCGCTCTTTATCTATAATATTCAATATTATATTCACCTATACTCTCCTCGGGGCCAAAACAACTATACCTGCTTTATTTGCTTGCGCAATAGTATTTTTTGGTTTTGTGGTCGGATCATACGGAGAAATCAACTTTTCATGGCAAGGAATAATTTACGGTGTCATGTCGAGTGCTTTCGTAGCATTATATGGAATATACGTGAAAAAGACACTGATTGTACTAGAAAAAAATGAATGGTAATTATAGCTTTTCAGATTACCTTTTTTTAGCATAGCTGATGAAGCTTTGAATTGATTTTTATCATTTTACGTTGAACGTTCTCGTAATAGGCGCCTTCTTCATTACAATACCACACTTTCGATCATTTTACTTTTACCGATGGTGTTGTTTTCCGGAGAACCGAAAAAAATATACATGGATGCGTACTTTATTGACGAAACTGGATTCTGGATATTGATGATATTCACGGGAGTCACAGGATTCGTGATCAATATTGCAATGTTTTTGCAGATTAAATTCACCACCCCATTGACAAACACTATTTCGGGTACTGCGAAAAGTTGTTTCCAAACTGCACTTGCCGCTTGGTATTTCCAGAATCCGATTTCAGTTATGGTAATAATTGTTTCTTGAACTTTAATGCTTTTTACCAAATAATTAGCTTATATTAACAAAGTATTTGTTGTTGATTAATGGTATTTAGAATGGAGCTGGTATTCTTCTTGCGCTATTCGGATCAGGTCTATATTCATGGATAAGATATAAAGAAATGACTCGCCAATAGTAGATCATCATTCTCGCTCTATTATCTTTCGGGAAACATTTGATTATGTATAAAAAAATAACCGCTTTCTCTGTCGACCCCGTAAAATTCCAAAGCAAATATGACAAAATTTTGGCTTTTTAGGCCACCATGAGTTGTAATAGCAAATAGGTTATAGAAGTTGTGGGCGGCACTATGCTTTCCATATTAGTGGAATATTTATTTATTTGTTCTAATGTATGTATTCGGTATTGGAAATTGACAGGCTCGTAAATTTGAAATTATACCGCTTGGACATAAAATGATTGGCTTTTGTCGCAGAAATCATGTGCAATTAATTAATTTAATCGGCATACAGTTAAACCTTTTATAATAAAGACCTTTGATATAAGAAAATCTCGAAGATTTTGGTTGGACCAATAACTCTTATATCAAGAGTAACTTGTATTAGGTGATACGAAACGATGGTTCTCAGAAACAAATGGTTCTCGATAAGAATATTTTTTGTTTCTCCTAGAATTATGTGTTTGTTCTCGCGAAGAACCATAAGTTCTTTCGAGAACTATGTGTTCTTCCGAGCATGGTTTGGTTTGTATTGCAAAAGTTTACTTCTTCGGTGCACTTTCCGAATTTTTCGTGTCGTTCTATATAGCAGCTACATTTCTCGGCCTTCTTTACTCTTTTTTGTTAATAATACTCAAGAAACAGTTTTCAAAAAAAGTGTCGGATCATGCGATTACGATCCCCGACACCATCCCCCTTAATTATAATGCATAATATTAGAGTTTCGGTTAGAGTTAGGATTAAGTTTAGGATTAAGGTTATTATATAAAATATAGCAATAGGAGCATAATACATGTATAGTAAAATTTCGAAAATTTCAAGATACAGCTATTTTTCAAAAGTAAGCGTTTGTTTTCATTACACACTGATCTTGCGATTTGATTGGTGCATGATTTTAAGGGGATATTGGATGTCGGCATCGGGATCGAAATCACATGATCCGACGCTTTTTTTGTCTTTAAAGAGACTTTTATGTGATTGGCTAATTTGAATAAATTACTTGGATAATTATATAATTATCAGAAATCTTATCTTTCACGTGATCAAAAATAATTAACCAATTAAATATAATAAAAATCTCATCTAAAAGAAAAGTGAAATTCTATACTAACTTAATATTTTATAATATATATCACTTAATATTTTATAATATATATTACTTAATATTTTATAATATATATCACTTTTCTTATGTTTTAAAATACTTTTTTAGAATCTAATATTCTACTTATTTTATTAAAAAATAAAAATAAATAATAATTGATTTTAGTTTCAAAAAAGTATTAATATTTATTATGCAAAAAAATTTGAAATTCAGTAATATTTTACTTAGGAAATAAATATTGTTGTGATATGAATTTTAGCATATTACATGACTTTTCATAGTTAATTTTCATTGGATAATTGATTTATAAATCATATCCATATTTATTTTATATTATCTATATTTATTTCATACTATT